GGGAATCGACACCGGGTCAGTCACATGCAAGGCAAACGCCCTCCCCGCTGTACTATCGCTCCAGCCCTAAAATCAGTATTTTGATACGAGGTTACCCAGGACTACAAGCCTGTGTCCTTATGGCAGGACCATGGCCCCACATAGAGAAGGGCGTGCAGGGCTGGCTGGGAAGCCGGAAGCCTCCAGCCGCGAGTCATGAGCGATTCCACTCTGAGGTTTGGGGTGAGAGAGAACAACTTATCTGAACCTCGATGCGTGTAACTGATGAGGAACTTGTGGACTCCGGATTCTTCAGAGAATAACTGGGTCAACTGAGGCCATTCAACTCGGCATCATGAAGCCACAGGAAACTCACACACGGCTGAAATTCTGTTTCTTTTTTTCTTTTTTTTTTTTCTTTGCTTTTTGGGTCACCACACGGCATTGAACAGGGGTTACTCCTGGCTCATGCACTCAGGAATTACTCCTGGCGGTGCTCGGGGGACCATATGGGATGCTGGGAATCAAACTCGGGTCGGCTTCGTGGAAGGCAAATGCTCTCGCTCCGGCCCCTGAAATTCTGTTTCTTTATCAAAAGACAGCTTCTAATGACTTTCCCTAGTTTTTGGACCACACGCAGCGGTACTCAGAGCTAACTCCTCACTCCGTGCTCAGGGATCACTCTTGGTAGACTATAAAGGGTTAAATACATTCGAGGCAAAAACCTTAACCCTGGTACTATCTCTCCGCCCCGGGTTCCGGTTCTGACCCCCATCCCAGACCCCTCCTCATCTGTGAAACTTGTTGGGACCTTCCCTCTGCAGCTCAAAACAGTTGTGTGCTCCAGCTTCGAGTATTAGTTAGATGACAGACAATGCACTATTTTGTGTATACACATACTTTTGTTTTTAGGGTATTGTTTTAAGTTTATATACTTATTTTTAGAGGGAGACTTGGGTTTGACGGCTGTACCTGGTGGTGCTCAAGGTTTACTCTTAGCTCGGGATTCAGGGTCATTCCTGCCAGGGATCAGGGAGCCATGTGTGGCTCTGGGGGTCAGACCCGGGTTGGGTGCATGCAAGGCCGCTCCAGTTTTTTGTTTTCTTTTTTTTTTTTTTAATGAGCCTCTATTTTCCCTCTGAGACTTTGCCTTCTCCAGCCTGCAAAGGTCGTGTTCTCACGTTGTCTCTGCAGCCTGGGGTGGAGGTGGTGGCTCCGTCGGGTGCATCGTGGCTGTCACTCCAGGGGCACCATGCAGGCAGGTCAGGAACACAGCTGGGGCAGAACTGCCCGAGCAGGTCAGCCTGTAGCACTGGGTCTCGCGTCCCCTAATGAATGGGCTACATGGTCCGCTTCCCCTCACAGTCCAATCAATAATTATCCTGCAGGCCAAAGGTCCCTCGGCCTCCTCTGGGGGTGGGGTGGGCATCAGGGGGAGCCGCTCACTCCCTGCCAGGGGCTGCTTGCAGGAAGCAGATACGCTCATTTGAATGTGTAAATTTCAGTGATATTTACAAAGGATGCATCTATGTCCGCTCACCTCTGACATTCTGGCCAATAGGAGAGGCGAGTCAGACTGGGAGGAAATAAGAAACTGTCAAGCAGCAGCTGGAGGGAGGACAAAGGGGGACTGCACCCACAGGCTCCCATCCCCAGCCACAGGGCCACCCAGCACCAAATACACGGTACACTCAGCCCCGTCTTGACCCTCAGCTCCTCCCGGCAGCTAATGTGGGAGTTACTTAGAAGATGCAACAACTAGTCACTCATGGACTCAAGCCCAGCAAAGGGGCAGGGGTTGGGAGGGGAGCTCGGGTCTCTAGAACCCCCCCTGGAGCTGAGGGTGGCCCCGCACACCCAGAATCATCCCTCTTGGGAGCTTGGGAGGCCTTGCTGGGGCTATTGTGGAACAGATCCTCTTATTTATACTTTTTTTTTGGGGGGGGTGGCCATTGGGTTACACTCAGTGATGCTCAGGGCTTACTCCTTCCTGGCTCTGCACTAAGGCATCACTCCTAGGGACCATATGGGGTGTTGGGGATCAAACCTGGGTTGGCTGTGTGCAAAGCAGTCCCCTACCCACCATACTACCACTGGGTCCCTGGTAACACAGGTTTTTTTTTAGGGGGAGGGGGTCACAGCCAGCAATGCACAGGGGTTACTCCTGGCTCTTCACTCAGGAATGACTCCTGGCGGTGCTCAGGGGACCATATGGGATGCTGGGAATCGAACCCGGGTCGGCTGCGTGCAAGGCAAAAGCCCTTGAAGGATAGAGATGGTGAGTGTGGTCCAGGCCAGGTCAGGCTGTGCTTAGCCCAGGGCGTGCCATTTTGCTTCAGGGCATCTCAGAGCTCCCTCAGGCCTCTCCCAGCTGCTTGCCCAGCCCTGCTCTCTCCGGGGATGGGGGTGGGGTGGTGGAGAGAGGGGGAGAGACTGGGATTGCTGGCTAAGGACAGCCAGGCCAAGATGACAACATCTGAAGTGGAGTAGAGGAGTCTTCCTCCAGGGGGAGGGGTCCCAGGGTAGTGTGGAGGGACGGTGCCACCTTGCTCCTGCTCCCCTGCCCTTAGGTAGGCCATGTGTGACCTCTGGATCAAAGGTCACTTCTTGGCCCCAGCTGCACCCTCTGCATCCCAGCAGGAAAAAGCTTCCCCAGGCCGCAGTGAACTCATGGCCCACGGCTCATGCTCCACCGAGTCATGCGCTCTGCGTGGCAGGAATGACACACACGGCAGTCATGGGGGATTTTCAGCGGCCCTGAGTGGAGATTGGGGGTTCTTTTCTAGAAGAGAAACAGAGAGGGCCACTGGCACTAGTCGCTCCCCTATAAGCAGGTAGGCAAAGCCTTTAGCAAACTGTTTTAGTGTGGGGAGCCATTCAAAATCAGAGTGATCAGGAGTGATCCCAAAAAAAACAAACAAAAAGATGCAAAAAAAAAGTATATATATTAGTGGGTCAGCGAGATGGTTCAGTGGGTAGGGAGCTTGCCTGGCACTGGACAGACCCAGGTTCAATCCACAGCATCCCATATGGTCCCCAAGCCTCTCCCGGAGTGATCCCAGAGCACAGAGCTGGTGAAAGAGGATCCAAGTGCTCAAATCCCAGCCACAAAGCAGCACCAGGAACATTTAATGCAACTAAGCAGAAAGACTGGACAGCCAGAGGGGCAATGATGCCTTAAGAGACTTTCTGGGCCAGGGGCTGGAGTGATAGCTCAGCGGGTAGGGCGTTTGCCCTGCATGCAGCCGACCTGGGTTCGGTTCCCAACATCCCATATGGCCCCTGAGCACTGCCAGGAGTAATTCCTGAGTGCATGAGCCAGGAGTAACCCCTGTGCATTGCCAGGTGTGACCCAAAAAGCAAAAAAAAAAAAACAAAAGAGAAACTTTCTGGGCCAGAGAGATAGTACAGTATGTAGGGCATTTACCTTGCACGAGTCTGACCTGGGTTTTATCCCTGGCATCCCATATGGTCCCCTGAGCATCGCCAGGAGAAATCCCTGAGTACAGAGCCAGGAGTAAACCCTGAGTACTCCTAGCCCCCAAATCCAAAAACCAAGCCAAACCAAACAAAAAAAGTCTTTCTTACTCTCCAGCTAGGTGTGTGTGTGTATGTGTGTGTATGTGTGTGTATGTGCGTGTACATGTCTGTGTGTGTTGGGGGGAGTGAGGGGGCTTTGTCCTCTGCCCTGGAGGACTGTGAGATGCTGCCATCCTGGGGTCACAGGGTCATTAGTACCATCCTTTTGTTTCTTCCCAGTTTCTTTCTAGTATTTTTTTTGCCCAATACCTACACTAGATCCTATTCTATAAAAAAATAAAAGTCTGGGCCACACCCAGCTGTGTTTAGGGTTGGGGGGGTGTCTCTGTCTTGCCAGTGCTCAGGGAACCAAGATCCAAGTCGGGCCTCCTGCTGCCAAAGCATGTGATCAGTGTTCTGTGGGGGTCAGGGGGGCGGCTGGACTGTATCTGGCTGTTCCCTTGGCTTCTTCCACGCTCTGTGCTCAGAGATCACTCCCGGGGCGGGGCAGGGGTGCAGGGTGGGAACCCTGGCCGTCACACGCAGAGCCAGTGCCCGGAGCCCGCACTCTCCATAGCCTGTCTCCATAGCCTGTGTGATCGGCGATGGAAACGCTGAAGACCTGGGCCTCTCCAAGAATCACTGAGGCACTGAGGCGGCGCTCAGCAGGGCTGCAGACTGGAATCACTTGGGAGTGCCTCCAACCTGATTTTCCTTTCGAGTCGGTGGCTGAAAAGGCAGGAGACTGATCTCTCAAGAAAGTTGCCCCATCCTGCTGGTGCTTTTCCTTTGATTTATGTACAGCCCCCACCTGAACGTGTGTGTGCGTGTGTGTGCGCGCGCGCGTGCAGCTGCTCGGACACCCTCGTTTCCAAGCGCAAGGACAGGCTGCGCAGACGCTCGCGCCCGTGGGAACCCGAGCTGGGCGCACAGGCGTGGGGAGTCCCAGCTGCAGCGGGCGCGCGCGTTGGAGGTAGGGTGGGGGGGCGGCGTGAGGATGCCAGCACTGGATGGGAGTGGAAGACCCCAGCACCTCCAGCCCGCCAGGGCTCCCACCGGGATCTGGGCGGTCAAGGCACAGGAGGGCGCTCGGCGTTCACGCCCAGAGGGCGCTGCAGCCTGTCTCCCACAGCAGAGAACCAGTGACCTCCTCTCCCGTCCTTCTCCCGGTGGATCGCGACGCGAGCCCACGGAGTGCGGCGGAAGAGGGGGGGCGTCCACTCGAAATCCCACCACCACCACCACCACCCGCGGGCCGGCGGAGCCCCCCCAAGGACCGCAGCGGGCGCCAAGGGGAAGGCCAGCCGGCCGGCCCCGCCAGGCTTTCGGCCCGCGGTGCGGGAGGGGGGCGTGCCCGGGGCGTGTCCGGGCGCCGGGGCGGGGACGTTCCGCGGGGGCCGGCCGGGGCGGCTCGGGGGGCGGGGTCCTAGGGGGTGGGGACTGGGGCCGGCCCCGAGACCCGGCGAACTGGGGGTGGGGTGGGGTGGGGGGGGGTAGGGGGCGAGTTTTTGCAACGGCGAAGGGCCCGTGGGTTTATTCTAAGGCGGAGCTCGGCGCGAGAGGTGCGGCGGGAGCTGAGCGGAGCGCGGCGACGAGGACTCCCACCGCCCAGAGCGGGCAGCAGCCTCCGCCTCGGACCGCAGGAGCCGCTCCCCGCGCCCCGGAACCCCGCACGGTGCCCCCCGGTGCCGGCAGCATGAGGCGCGCGGCGCTCTGGCTCTGGCTGTGCGCACTGGCGCTGCGCCTGCAGCCGGCCGTCCCGGTGAGTGCGGCGCGGGGCTGGGCCACCCGGGGGGCCGCACGTGGAGGGGGAGGGGAGCGGAGACCCCCCCCTTCCTTTTCTTCCCGCGCTGCCCGGGACCGTGGGCACCCCCAGTCCGCGCTCCGCGTCCCGGTTTCCGCCGCCGTTGGCTGCGCGCTGCGCGGGGTCCCGCGGCTCGGGGCGGCGGGAGCTGGGGGTGTCGGAGCCTGCGCCCCAACACCCCCCTACCCCACCCCACCCACCTCCCCTCTGCATTCAATTATATATACATATCAAAAATAGAAAAAAAAAAACCCGGCTCCACCGGCATTGGAGCCCGCCAGCCTGCGGCAGTGCCGGGGATCGCCGGTTCGCACCCCGTCACTCCGAGCACCGTGGCGGTGACCCGGGAGATCCAGTGACCACGACCCCGGCGTCCAGCCCCGCGGACCCTTCCTTCAGTCCCTTCCCGCAGCCCCGAAAGCCCGGGCCCCTTGGGTCGAGACCCGTGGGGGCACCGCGGGACGGGCGCGGGCGCGTTTGCTGGGAGCCGGGGCCGGCCGGGACTCGCAGGGGGTCCCCGCGGGGGCGGGCGGAGGTGGCGGTGGGGAGCGGGGGGGACTCCCCGCGCTTTTTCGAGGGGAGCCGGGCAGGGCCGAGCTGGCAGCTGGAGTTCCGGGAACTTGGCCCGGAACCTGGCGATCGGCGGGAACCAACTTCTCTGCGGCCGGCCCGGGTCGAGGCGCCCGGTCGCCCCCGGGGGCGCGTGCGGGCGCTTGGGCACCGCGGGGCCGGCCGGGCGCCTTCCCCGCCTGGGGGACCCGGGGCCGGCCCTTCCCCTCCCCCGGTCCGGCTTTGTGCTGGAGCCGCGCGGAGGGAAGGCGGGTCCCTCGGCCCGCCCAGCGGAGCTTGGAGGAGGGTGGGGGGTGGAGGGGGGGGAGAGGGGAGACCAACGTGGAGCCCGAGGTTTGCTGGGGCGGGGGGGGGGGGCGGGGAGGCCTTTCGGGGACCACTGCAGCATCCACCTTGGGGGAAGGCTGGGCTCCCCTCGAAAGAGACGTGGCCGACAAAGAGCATCCCCAGGGACCCCAGAAAGTGGTCTCCCGCCCGGGCCGCCGGCCGCTAGCGCGCCTTCCCCAACGGGGGCGCTTTGTTCTCGGCCCCTGGAACCCTTTCCTGGGAACCGCCCCGCGGCGCCGCCGGCCCGCTCGAGGGTCCGAGACCCGCGCCCACCTGGCTGTCGGGGGGCCCGCGTCCAGCATCCCCGCCGCCCCCCCTCCCCCCGACACCCCCGGGGTCGTCCCGGCGGCGGCGGGGATGCAGAGGGGCGCCCCCCGCTCCGGAAGTGGCGGTCTCTCTCGCCACCACATCTGGCCCCGACTTCCCAGGCCCGGGCCAGCCAGGCACGTGGGCGGGGAAAGGAACCGGCCGCGTGGGCACCGGCGTCCCCCACTCGCCCTCCCGGTGGCATCTGGGCCAGCTCCGGGCCGGCGCGGCCGCAGGATGGGAGCCGCCGGCTGCCCGCACCCCACCACCCCGGGAGGGAGGCGTTTCCCCAAGCCGGGGGGGAGGGGGGGGCTGCGAGGTGGGCGCCTGCCGCCTGCCCAGGCAAACATTTGGAAACCCGGGAGCTTCTTGATGGCCCTTGAATGGCTGGAGAGAGAGAGAGAGAGAGAGAGAGAGAGAGAGAGAGAGAGAGAGAGAGAGAGAGAGAGAGAGAGAGAGAGAGAGAGAGAGAGAGAGAGAGAGAAGGAATCGGGATGCCCGGTCTGCGGGAGCCCCAGGGAACCGGAGGACCTGGCTGCTGGGTGTCTGATGTTTTCCTGGCCTTGGGGTCCGGCACGTTGGCCTGTGGCTTTTGTGGGACTCTGGAGGGTGCCTGGACTCATAGTTAATGCTATGGAGACGGGGTGGGAGGGACTTGGCGTGTCCCCCAGGCTCAGCAGGGCTTAACCGGGGAGTCCCACTCTCTCCAGGCTCCCCGAGGTTTGCCCCCACCTCCACTGCTGAGGTGGGCTCTCACCCACTGCCCTGTGAGTGGGGAGGAGGCTTCAGGCTGAGGCTGGCACTGTGGGGTTTGAGCTTCTCTGTGGACCAACTTTCTGAATGTGCTGAGCTGGAAGAAGGGAGGCTCGTTAGAGCTGCCATCCTAGGAGGGCTTCCTGGCGGGGGTGATTGAGCTGAGCCTTAAAGTACTATACTGGGGGGTGGGGAGGACAACGGGCAGACTCCAGCCTAGGATTTAGGTTTGCATCTTGCTTTTTGATTTTTGGGTCACACCCAGTCATGCACAGGGTTACTTCTGGCTCTGCACTCAGGAATTACTCCTGGCAGTGCTCGGGGGAACATATGGGATGCTGGGAATCAAACCCGGGTCGGCCCCATGCAAGGCAAATGCCCTACCCCCTGTACTATCGCTCCAGCCCTGGGTTTAGGTTTTCTTAAGTTTTAGTTTCTTTCTTTTTCCCGCATCCTGCCTGTTCCATGTTACAGTGAGGGCTCGGTCCTTGGTCAAAAGTGGCAAGAAGCGGGCCTGGGATGTGGCTCGGTGGCACAGCACTTGCTCCGCATGTATGAGGCCCTGGGTTCAATTCCCAGTATCCCATGGCTGCCGGGAGTGAGGCCCAGACACTGAGCCAGCAGTTGGCCCTGAGCACTGCCAGAGCTATTCACCACCCCCGTAGCACTGTCCTCCCATTGTTCATCAATTTGCTCCAGCGGGCAACGGTAAGGTCTCCATTCTGAGACTTGTTGTTACTGTTTTTGGCATATTCAACACCCCAAGGGGAGCTTGCCAGGCTCTGCTCTGCGGGTGGGATACTCCCGGTAGCTTTCCGGGCTCTCCGAGAGGGGATGGAGGAATCAAACCCGAGTCGGCCGCATGCAAGGCAAATACCCCACCCGCTGTGCTATCACTCCAACCCTCCACCAAAGAAAAAGCAGTGGGAGCATAGAATGATTTACTATCTCCCCCGGAGCCCTAAATGGGGTGTGTCTACAGGTTGCAGAAATGTGACCCTCTTCCCCCCTTTTGGCTCCTGGGAAGCAGGTCAGAACCCCTGGGGGACCAGAGAACAGGCCTGATTCTGGGCACTGTCTCGGAAGGGGCCAGGTGAGTCTGCTGGGGCAGGAGATGCCCCGAGCCGGTCCCGAGAGTGGAGAACAGGTTTGTCTCACAGGGTTTGTGCATGCCTGTGTGTTTCCCCGGGCCCTTTGTTTCCCAAGAAAAATGACTTGTTCTGGAATAGCTATTTGCTGTTTTCTTCTCTTTTTCTTTCTTGAAAGGCATAAAATCCCTTTTTGCCTTAATTATGGGGGCTAGTAGAGACATTTCCCTGCGGCCTGGCGGCGTGGGTGGGGGCGGGGCTGTGCGCGCGCTTGCAGCCCTCGGAGCTGATGTCAGGCCTGGCGGTGGCCCCGCGAGGGTGGAGCCCATCTGAGTCTCTACCTGTAGTGCGTGGTGGGTTCCAATAAAATCTTACTCCCCCAACCGGGTAGGCAGAAAGAGGAATAAGGAAGGAGAGGGCTCTGGAAGGAATTAGTGAGAAGCCGGAATGGGAGTGTTTTAGAACAGAATCTTTTCTATTCCAGCAGGATTTGGGACTCTCAACTTCTGGGGGGTGGGGTGGGTGAGGAAATGATCTCTCCTCGGATCCGGGGTCCTTGTCGGGGTTCTTACTGGCTAAGGGTCTGTGGTGTGCTTGGAAGCGTTACTTCAGGACTGAGCTCTGACTGAGATAGCTATTTCCCTCTCTTCTAACGCACTAAGAAACCTTGTTTTTTGTTTTGTTTTTTTTTTTTTTTTGCATTTTTGCATTTTTGGATCACACCCAGCAATGCACAGGGGTTACTTCTGGCTCACTCATGCACTCAGGAATCACTCCTGGAGGTACTGGGGGACCATACGGGATGCTGGGAATCGAACTCGGGTCAGCCGCGTGCAAGGCAAATGACCTACCCGCTGTGCTATCACTCCAGCCCCAAGAAACCTTCTTTAAGTCCCAGAGGTGCTGGTTGGTTGAGCTTCCTAGAGAATGAGTTGCCCCTCTGCCTGGTCTCCCTTCTCCCCTCCCTACTACCTGCCTCATGCAGTGTTTGGTAGGTGCTTTTCCTGTCTCCCATCCCCCTTGGAGATCAGTGAGCTGTCAGCTTTTAGATTGCATTCGAATTAGCACTTTGGTCCAGCCATGCGAAGTGCAAGTTTCCTCATCCATTCCCTTTCTTTCTTTTTTCTTTTTTGGGTCACACCCGGGGATGCACAGGGGTTACTCCTGGCTTTGCACTAAGAAATTACTCCTGGTGGTGCTCAGGGGACCCTATGGGATGCTGGGAATCGAACCCGGGTTGTCCGCGTGCAAGGCGAACGCCCTACCCACTGTGCTGTTGCTCCAGCCCCTCCATTTCCTTTCTAAGTGTGAGCAGTGCTCCTGGTCAGGGCTGCCTGGGCTTCTGCCGTGTCCCGGAGAGTCCCCGGAATAACACCAAGGGGCCTCCTTAGTGCACAGACAGGAGCTCCCCACTTCCTCTCTCTGACGTCTCAGCTGGTCTAGAACCCAGCCAGGTTTGCTTGCTTTGAATCTGAGGCTCCCAAACGTATGAGGTCTACAGCCCCCTTTTCATAAGCAAATGGACTCAGCGCCCCTCTGGACATCTGCCTCCTTTCAGTGAACAAGCAGAAAATGCTTCACCTCCCCCTGCCCCCCGCATTGTGGCCGAGGTGCCTACTTCCGGATTGTTCCAGCACCCTGAGGCAGGGTGGGTGGCATCGCCTTCTTTGAGAAACTGCTCTGAAACCTGATCATTATGCCCCTGTTGTCTCAAGCCACTCATGTCTGACTTGGATTGGGTTGTACTCCTCCGAGTGCCCCTGTGCCCCTGCCGTTGGCAGGCCAGAAAGGGTGCTTTGATTTAAGCTGAACTTCAGGATGCAACCTCAGCTATTCCTGCAGCTACTTTCCTGCTGGGCCGAGTCCCTTGGCTTCTGGTTCCCCTGGAAAGTGGATCTCATCTCTCCGCCCTCC